AGGCGGCGGCCGCTCTGGCAGCAGCCATGCCAGGGGCTGGAGGGGCCAAATCTGAAGCCAGAGGCAACGGCCCTCTGCCTGGAGGAGGAGGGCTCATGGAGGAGATGAGTGCCCTGTTAGCAAGGAGGTAGCGACACATCATATATTACTCTTCGATTCAGTACGTCTCAAAATAGGCACTTGAGTCATATGAATGAATTTCAGATCTTGTTTCATATACTACAGAAAAGTGAAACTTGACACAGTTGCCATACAGTAGATTTAGCAAACCCCAATGTTGGTCGCAATGGATTTTGTTGTGCCACCTGAAGAATAAGTTCATGTACTCATCACTCTCACTATTCCTCAGTATTATGAGATGATATGTAGTAAAATCGTAATTTAAATGCACTTTGTTGCTGACAGAGAAGTATCACTGTAAGATCTAGAGAAATCTAAGGAATTTAGGTTTTAAAAATGTGGAGTTCAGGAGGAATTGTGTGGTCTGTGCTTTATGATATTAACATTAAACATGATGATATGTTTTTAAAAATAGCAACTGTTTTTCAGAAATAATTCTGGACTCTGTCTTACAGGAGAAGAATTGCAGAGAAGGGCTCATCACCTGAACCTGACCAGAGATCAGTAAGTACCATTAGATCCTTCTTGTAAGATGATGTCATGGGGTAGGACTGGATAAGTCTGACTTCTTCCTACTCCATTCAAGCATGTACTAGGTATAAGTAAATTGATATTGGATTAGCATTTGTTGGATATGTGTAAAATTATGTGTGTTGACATATCAACTGTCTTTACATGCTTGAAAGAATAAATCAAATCAAATTTTCACCCATTGTGTGGTACAGTTGCATATGTACTCACCAGTCTCTCAGCACGACTGGGTAGCACCACGCTGGCCAGTGGGATACTGACTGGTAATTTGCTTGGGTGGACAGTGCTCAGGGGGATACTAATGGGAAGGCTTGTAATGCTGTTGTCACCCTGAACAGACGGACTCCTCTCTTTACCACCCTAAATCAGAGCAAAGAAAAAATGTTAACAGTAAGAGAGCCAAGAAAGGAAGACAGAAAGCTGTGTGCTTTAAGACAGTGTGCTTTACCCTTTCAGAACTTTTAGGAGTATTCTGGATATCAGATGCAATGGGAGAAGGGCAGTTCTGTTTGGCTCCAAGTGGCGAGTTAACACCACCCAATTCCCTAAAAAAAGAAAAAGCAACTAGTTTGCTGTCTGTTACTTTAGAAAACAACTCTGAGACTGTCAAATAAAAAAAAATTCCTTGAAAAATGGGAGCTTTTAGTGCCTACCAACCTGTTTGTGGTCAGCCCTGGACCTCTCAAGTGAGCAGAGGCAGTAGGGTCCTGGTTAAGATGCCTTCGCAAGGCTATCTTGGCGGGGGAGAAGCGTGTGTAGTCAGGAAGAGCATGGGAGAGGCTTTGCTGCCTCTGCCGAGCATCAGTGGTCGCAGACATAATGTCATGGTCAGGAGAGATGGGCAGGTAACGAGAAAGAAGCTCCCCCTTGGTGTTGGCCCGGTCAAAACAGGGTGAGCTGGTGCCATTGATACAAGGCTCTGGGCTGACACCATTGAGGGCTGGGGCTGAAGTCAAGCCAAACTTTGAGGAGTCCATGTCTGTGGAACAGCGTGACTCCAAATTCTTTCTATATGGTGAGCCCTCACCTGGGCAGTAGGATTTCAGTTGAAGCAGCTCCTGCTGCCTTTGACTTTTCTCCAGCTCCACAATGCTAATCTATAAAAAACACCAGAGGGAGCCATTACACAGGAAAGCAGTCACACAGCAACAATGTCATGTGCCTAGGAGAACATTTGTGACAGCAAATAATCAAATCCTCATGAAGGATTTAGTTTATAATTTAGGTGACATGAATTCCTTGAAAATCTTTGAAGAGCCAGTGGGACGAACAAAAGGGGGGCAGCACGATTTAACAAGAATCCAGAGAACACACAGAAAATGAAGAGGCATAACAGAGGTGAGAGAGAGATTCAAGCACTTGGAAATGGATTCAAGAAACTGATGAGGTGGAGTGTATACCTGCAGCTCCAAGCAGTGTCTCTGTTTCTCAGAGATTTGCTTGCGCAGTGCCTGTTTCTCCTTCAACAGGCTCTCCAGACACAAGGAGCCCCAGTCTAGCTTCAGCTCCTCACATCGAGACTTCAACTGGAAAACAACATATATACATATTTGCTACTTTTAATTTGCATTTTAATTTCTGCAAAAATAGAAAATACTTTAGCAAAGTGAAACTATTTAATAGTGCTTGCCTATATAGTTAAAACCAGGATTTCAACAACCACAACAGAAATGCAGAGCAATAGGAATGGTACCAGGTGTGAAGTGAACTAGGAATGATGTTATAGCAACAGAGCAGAGATTACAACAACAGTAACATGCTCTGAGGTCTCACCAGTAGCAGGCTGTGGTCTCTCAGCAAGGCCATCTCTCTCTCAAGCTGCTTGGTCTGCTCTTTCAGCTGATGGTTGTGAGCTGATATCTCCTTCTGGGCCTGCAGCAGGTCCTCCACAGTCAGAGCTTTCACACCCAACTGATCACCACACACGGACACACAAAGGCATATGCAGTGTCATACATTAGCAAAAAGAACATAATGCCTAAAGAGCAATCAAAAGTCAGTGAGCATCCTGTCTTTGCTGACTTTCAGTGGCTAATGTTGTCACCCTAGTGCATCCATCCATCCATCCATCCATTATCTATACTGCCTATTCCTGAATAGGGTCGCAGGGGGGCTCGAGCCAATCCCAGCTGACTTTGGGCGAGAGGCAAGGTTCATCCTGGACAGGTTGCCAGTCTATCACAGGGCTGACATGTAGACAACCACACACACACACACCCACACCCACACTCTCCTACAAGCAATTTAGAGTCGCCAATCAACCTAAGCTGAATGTATTTGGACTGTGGGAGAAACCTGGAGTACCTGGAGAAAAACCACACTGGCACAGGGAGAACATGCAAACTCTGCACAAATTTGAACCCAGAACCTTCTTGCTATGAGGCAATAGCGTTAACCACCCGGCCACAGTGATTTATAAACCTATTCAGGATGTGATCAATGCAACCATCGCCACCTGGTTGCAACTTTCAAATGCATATGTATGCTCACACCCAACCCAGGGATGCTAGATGTGGTCTCAGGCACAACAGAAATTAAGCTTTCAAAACTGAGGAGCTCGGTGTAATCATTCAACACCAAAGTAGGCTCTGCTGTCTACACACACAAGCTGTATTTCAATAACTGTTAAATCCATGTTCATCTGCATCTCATCATGCGCTTCCATAATAAAATAACTTTATAAGCATTTCTGGATGTTAATAAAAGAAGGTTTCTAGAAATATTGTTGACCCTGTCTTTACAGCTGTGATATGGAGGGTAATAAAATTCCCACCTCATCTAGTTTGGTTTGAAAGAGACCTTTGATCCTCTCCTTATGAAATTGACAGACAGAGTGGAGTTGCTCCGCCTGCCCTGACAGGTCCCTGTGTTTTTGCTAGAGACAGAAAGGAAAACAAGAATACAGCTAAGAGGATAGCCAAAAAAAGTTATATCATTAAAGATAATTGTTACCTAGATAAAATGTGCTTGAATACAGGAAGGGAGGTGTAGCTATAGCAAATCAGTACTGTCTTTAGTGACTACTAACCTACCTTCTCCTGCTCTAAAAGCTGCTGCAGGTTGGAGCGGTACTGAGGAGTCTTCATGTAGGCCATAAACTGGAGGTACTGAGCTTTGATGTTATCTGTGAAAAGATGGGTTCAAGACGCCGAGCGAGCAAAAGAGCAAAAAACAGCTAGTCTGAGTAGAGTAAAATAACTTTGAGAACAAACAACAACAAATCTTCACCAGCTCACCTAGCAGTTGTTGCAGACCAGGAGGAGTCGGGCTGAGCAGCATTTGACTAGTGGGATAGTGCTGGACCTTGGGAGGTAGCTGGTAGAAGGGACTCTGAGGTGGCCGGTATGCATCTGTACACATAACAAACATTTATGTTGAAGTCAGTGAGTTTTCTAAACCAAACACATGTGAAGAGGACATTAGTCTCTTCTGTAATATGAAATAGCTCCAGAATTTCAGTGACTGGTTGTACGTTGCATTCTAAGTACATTCTTATTAAGCCTAACGGTAATATGCAGTAGGCCTATTTTGTGCGTGTGTGTGCCGTCTGACCCTGAGGAGGTGCTGCAGAAAGAGTCTTGGCGTGGAGCAAATCCAATGCAATCTGATTTTTCTTGTTTTTCTTCTCAGCAGCTGGGGTGGCTTTCTTGGGTCGGCCACGCTTCTTGTTGTTCAACTTGCGACCTTTGGACAAGAGCCGGGTTCTTCGAGGTTTGGTCGTGGGCTTGACCACTGTTACCAAGCTAGGACGCTCCTCTTCCCCGCAGGACTCCTGCTGTAATACACAAACATATATTCACACTAAGAGCAGAGAGAGCTCGCCTTGCTGGGTTAAGTTGACTGAGGTGCATCTAAAAGAGAGAAAAAATATCAAAAACAAAGCAACACACAGCAAAACAAAATTGAATGCACTTAAAATCTGGTAAATCTGTGGAGGTCCTACCTTGCTTTGTTCTTTAGGTTTTGTGGGCGTGGTGCTATTGCTTTTATTGTCCTTTGTATCCTTCTGCTGACGTCGCCTAGCTGCCTCTTGCTCCTCCTGACATAAGATGAAACATACTTTATTGTGTGATATAGGCTGATTATAAAAAACTGAGGAGGAAGACCATGACTTACCCTGAGTTTAGGATTTTTGAGACTAGCAAAATAGTTTTCAAGCTGAAAAACAGAACAAGAAAAATGTGAACATTAGACATCACTCTTAATGGGCTGTAGGACCAACATCTCCCTGAAACTTTTCCCCTAATACTTTTAGAAGGAATGTCTTTGTAAATAGTCATTTAGAAAAAAAATGTGATTTCTTCTGGCATCAAGTAATATCTATAATAGTAATATCTATAATTTATATTCTGCAAGAGCTCTCCGTTTTGTTTACATTCTGATAGCTCATCATGCTCGGGTTTGGGGTTCGCTAATGAAGAAACGTATCACCCAATGCAGCGATGTGTTTCACTTGTGTTTTTAATCATTTTTTAACAAAACAGAGGTGTTCAGCACAGGCAAATAAGTTGATCCCGGTCTGACACACTGACGGACATTAAACATGAATAGAGACAATTCATTGTTGTTTTTTAGTCTCTGTATGGGGGGTGTTGAAAATACTGTTAATATAAAAATGATCAGCCTTATCCTTTAAAGCAAACAATGTCCTGAATAGGATATGGTTCAATTTTGCACCCTGTGAACTGTTTTATAATGACATGGATGTTAGTGACTGAATCATAGTTTTCACATATTCAGCGCTATTAGTTGACTCCTTTAAGCAAAACAAAACAGGCTGACAATGCCAGTTCAGAGCAAAATCTTCAAGTATCAAAGGCAACTTTCCATCAGATACATTTGAAGATTGAACTTAGATTGCAAGTACATAAAAAACAGCTTGGTAATAGAATGATAATGAAAATTGCAGACTGGTTTGTCTTACTTATCTTTCTGGGATGATTATGGACTATTAATGTAAATTATTGACCAGTCATTTGCTAAGATAAGGTAAACCTTTAGTCCTGCAACAGGGAAAGGTACAAGACCTATTCAACAGAGGACCTGTGATGATGCACAGTTTTTGATCAGCAACCCCTTGTCACTGAGGCTTACTTTCTTTTACTCATCGAAATCCATTTTCTGAAGGGACAAACAATACAACCAAATCCCTTTTGGGAAATGTACATTATTTCTAGTGTGGTGCTGTTCTAAGAAGTCACACCACCCATTACTGGGTACAAATACACAACATTAAGACCAAGGAGAGAGCAGCTATACCTCCTTCAGGTAGTAACTCACAACAGGATTGTCACCAAAAGCCTACCAGCTTTCTCATGGGTAACCAGTGATTATTTTTACCTATTACCACGGTGACACATGTTATCTAATGGGTTTGTGTTACCCTGCGTAACCCTCTGGGTTTCTTTTCTCAGACTGCTTACTCCTGGGACTGACTACTCATTGAGACAATACCAGCCTTAATTAAGGCAGCCTATCTCTCAAATTTAGGTTTCCTGTTTGTCTCTAATGTACATTGTGTTTGTACCACTTTGCCAGTCATTTAGTGCTTTATTTGTTGGTCAGTGTCTTCTCTGACAGAAATTCTAGTTTGCAATTCTCTCATTATCGGTCACAACAACAGTGATTAAAAAAAAGCTTCAGTGCTCACTATGGTGCGGTCGATGGTATGCAGGTAGTAGGACACTGGCTTTCCAGTCCAGGACACAGAGCCCCTCAGTGGAGAAAGCTCCACTACACGCATTATTGTGCCAATATCTGCAGGACAGAGAGGAAAAGATGAGAAATCTGATACAAATCAAGCCTTAGATATAAAAACCTGCTTTTTCATTAAGTATGATACGTACCACTCAAGTTTCGACTGTTTATTCTAAAATTTAAAGGTGCAAAAGGTTTGGAGGATACAATTTTCCCACCTGCAATGACAAAAAAAAAAACACAACACACAAAAACTGTCTACATCAATACATTTTTGCCTGACAAATTCGAGCAATAGCAATGGCAATTTTATTTATATAGCACTTAAAAAAAAACAAACATTACAAAGTTTAAACCATTACATAACATTACTATCACATCAAACTGACAAATATTACAATTGATTAATATTGACGATTGCTCATAACTGAACATTTGACAAATGTTAAAAAAAGAGTGGGGAAAAAAAATTTCTGACCAAAAAAATGTTAAATCCTACTTGACCATTGTGATCAGGATTTGATTCTTCGAAGATTTTTTAGACTTTATTTGATACCATAGTAAATAAAGACAGGATAAGGGGGTGGGCAAAAGAGAAGGGTGGAGGTCTGCAGCCAAACTCGGCAGCGGACATGGCATGTACATTCGTACTGTACATGGGCACCCACACGAAACCACTCTGCTATCTGGGGTGGCCTTCGTTATCTCTGATATGATTGATTCACATCATTTCTGCAGATATGGCAACTGATATGAATATTCATGCTGTAAATCTCCAGCTCTACCACATCCCAGAGAAGTTGTATTGGATTCAGATCTAGTGACTGGAAAGCCCATTACAATGAACTCACTGCCAGACTCGTGAAACCAGTTTAAAATAACTTCTCTCTGTGACACAGTGTGTTATCATGTGAAGAGTAACCATTAGATGTTAGGTAAATCGTGGCAATAAAGGGGTGCACATGGTCAGCAACAATACTCAACACTTTTCTGCTCACCCCAGTTATAAAGAGCAGCTATTATAAAGTTTCGGTCAGCTCGAACCAGTCTGGCCATTGTCCTACAACTTCTGTCATCGACAAGGCACTTCTCCCTACAGAGCTGTCGCTCCCTGGATGTTTGTTTTTTTTGCACTGTTCTGTGTAAACTCGACTACAATTACAATACTCTACAAAAATAATTTAGCAGTTGAAAGATACTAACCTTCCTTCATGTTAGCAAAGCGTTCCTTCAGCTGGTGATCTACTTCTGGACCAAAGGCAAAGTTATTCACAAAAATGATACTGGAAGACAGACAGAATAGAATATATTTTAGAGGAAGTTAACAAGGAAGTAATTAATTTCAGGAAAATAGGTTTTATGTAATGATGAGATTTGTTGAACTAACTGACTTTCTTCTAAACCTTTAGCAGAGTCCTGCATATGCTGCTCTTCATCTGAAAGACCAGACTCAAAACTAGCCAATACAACCTAGTGTTAACCACCACAGATCAAACACAAACTTCACTGTGACTCTGATAGTTCACAGAAATGCAACCTTGCCTGATCTTACAACATACTCATCTACAGAATAACACAGAACATTAAAATCAAGATATTTTTAAAATACTGCAGGACAAGTGTTCCTTTGGTCATGTACTGACTTATATTAAAATATACAGAGGGTTATTTTGTGTGGTCACTATGTACAAATTCATTTATTAAAATTCTTATAGAGAATGTACAGAAATGTCTTTCAGTCACTGTAACCATTTGTGTGTACCACCTTGTGTTGGCAATCCTTTCTCTCCATTCTTCAGACAGAAAATCACCTCTCTCCAGCTAACAAACATCAAAGTATGGTTAGAGTAAACAAAAAAAAATCATAAAAAATAGCAGGCGCCTGATATTTAACTTTTTTGGAAATATGCATAATGAAAGGTGTTAGTAATAATGGCACACTTACTGTGTACTCTCCATGTTTCTTCCCATACCATTTCATCCACTTTTTAAATTCCTTATCCATGGTCTGGAAAAAATAATATAAATATCCAAACAAATGGTTACAAGTATAAAACAGACAGACACACACACAAAAAACAATCAGTACAGAACTTGTATTTCAGAGGAGGTTGCACTAAGGATGTTTAGTGAGTGATCCTGAGCCATTCAATGAATTTCTGGATATTGTATCCGAAGTTCAAAGAAAGCCCGTTTCTGACACCAAAATGACTGTGTCTTTTACTGTAACATCTCATTCTGAGCTTTTGAGTTGGATTGTTTTTTTTGCAGTAAGGACACACTGTCTGATAATACCTACTTGGACTCTTGTACCGAGGGGCTATTCTTAAATTCAACGTTAGTGTTGGGGTTTTGCTACAGGGAATAGGTGAGAAGATGAAATACTAACGAGGGAATCTAGTCTGAAGGATATGCTGGCACAAGGACACCACACTGCAGAAAGACTTTCTTCAAGACTATTCTACTCTATCTACCAGAGCTGTCTGCACCAACAATTACAATGTGTCAGCACAGCCATTTTACTACAAAGACACAGTACAGTTCTGTGCCTGAATGCAGCCTAAGTCTTGGTTTTTTTGCCACCTTTCTGAAATACACCTCTGGTCCAGTGAGACTTTTATGTAGTTACCTCTGCATAGGTAGCTGGAATATCTGCTTTCTCTACACCATAGTAGTGTTTACAGTTGGTTGCTGCTGCAACCTGCAGCACTACCTGCCCCACTCCTGCAAATAAGAAACAATTTAAGAAGTTATATAAATTCACATCTTACACCAAAGAAACACCACCACTCAGGCTGTCATTTTTGCCACCAACACTAGCTTATTGACCCAATCAATTCAACTCTCACATCTTTTTTTGTCTTTTAAAAACCAAAAACTCCTTATTTCTTTTTCCCCCTCAAAATCTGTTCCCACTGCACTATTAGTGTGACTGGTTGTAGTGTAATATCAACCGAATAACAAAAACTTTTAAAAGGTCTGGAGAACAAGTGGATGGATTAATTCTTTCTGAAACCTGGATATACAACAATAACCGCAGACTAACCACTGCCGAGGTCAACAAAGGTGTCTTCTTCCATCATTTCCATCTCGTCAATGATCTGAGCCACCAGATCGAACGAGGTCTCTCCGTACACTTCAGGGGAGAACGGTTCGTAGTTGTTCAGCTTCTCTGGGTCAGTCACTGAGTGGTTGTACACCTGCTGTAGGATGTGTCTCAGCAGCCCATTAGAAGGACGCTTGTTCAGTTTCATGGGCTGAGTGGTCCCTTTCCACTGTAGGATAAGATTCCTACTCATTAGTATATTTATTCATAAACAGAAATACTTAAAGCAAGACATTATGGCTTTCCTCCTTATGCTAGTATGAAAACGTATTATCAGCTGACATTGGTCAACTGAATCAACATTATAAAAACAATAATAAAACTTTATTTATATAGCACTTTACAACTCCAGCAGAGCCCAGAGTGCTTCACGGCAGAACATGTATAACTGCTAAAAAAAAACACTACAAAAACAATACAACCTAAACTAAATAAAACACAGGATTTCAAGGCAGAAACAGTAAAAAATGTCCATACCAGAATACAACTGGAATAAAACAACAAGTTAAAACGTCTCTTTTGGAGGAGATAAGCTGGGTTAAGCACCAAAAGCCTGTCTAAAAAGGTGGGTTTTTAGGGTTGACTTAAAAGCCGCCAGCTCGGTTATGGACCGTAGCTCTAGCGGTAGAGAATTCCAGAGTCTGGGGCCATACACAGCATCACCCCATTTTTTGTATCGAGACCGAGGGATAACCAAGGACTGATGTTCTGAGGACCGCAGAGCTCTGCGCGGAGCATAAATAGACAAAAGATCAGACAGGTATGGAGGAGCGATACCATTTATAGACTGGAATACAAATATTAGCACCTTGAACCACTGAATTAGTGGTTGGATTTGTTCCAACCACTAATTCAGAATGCTAAAGGCAAAACCAATATGCTAGATGTTTTCTAGAAAAACTAAATATTTCTGTGTAAAATCTGAAAATTGATAGTTTTTTTAATAGAAATACAGACCAGAGAGCACTGGCCCCTATGGAACATTGTGATTAATAACTAAAACACGATACAAATAATTGTAGGTATAGCAAAAGCAACTATTCTTAAACAGAAATGAACTTTTTTGATAGTTCAAAAAAAGTAATGAATAGCACAGATTCAAAAGAACAGTGGAACACACAAATACAGCATTTTTCACTTTTAGTGACTAATGTTTTCATATTTGCGTCACCTACACAACACTGAAAAACCTTGACACATATGGACTCACCAGCTGGTGAATGCTGTCGATAGCCCTGTTGTACTTGTCACAAAGTCTCTGCATACTCTCAAAGCTGTGAGAATAACAAGACAAAAAATTAATCATGTCATACTGTACAAGATGAATTTCAGCTTCCTATTTTACCTTTAACTTCACAATTTAACTCTGAAGATATTCCTTTAAAATGTGTGTTAAAGTTAAAGATTGGACTCAGGGAAGAAACATTCATTATTACTGATAATTTAGGTTTCAGACATATTTTTAGCCTTAGCAAACCAACCCAAGACAAATTTAAAAAACAAAAACTCTATTTAGACAAACAAAAAGGCTGTTTCAAGAGTTAGCCTGGCTGGACTCAAGTGTCAGCACTGTCACATAACAGTGATTTTAGACAAGTCCTTTTAGCATGTTTTCTAATTCTGACATGATACGCAACTCACCTTTTGGTGTCATAGTCAATGAGTACATAGTTTTCCATTGCCAGTTTGAGGTCTGGGATCTCCTCACACACCCACCTAAAGAAGGTACAGAGATGAAATTATGACCACATCATACACATGACAGTGTCACTTACAGTCTGTGGAAAAATAAGAACGTCCATGTGGGAATTGAGTCAGAGGAAGGAAAATTCACTTACCGAATAGTCTCGATGATTTCATGAGCAGCATCATGATGTTTATCCTAGGTGGGAGACAAAAGATTAAATACCTCTCAGAGTATCACATTCAATAGCACCATAACTTCAGCCAACAACATGACCATAAATTTAGAACAATATAGTCTTCATGATGGTATAATTTACTGCGGGACTCATCTTATCTCATTTTCTATACCGCTTAGTCCCGAACAGGGTCGCGGGGGGGCTGAAGCCAATCCCAGCCGGCGGGCAAACGGCCGGGTACACCCTGGACAGGTCGCTTGGTCCATCTTGTAAGTTTATACTGAAGCTTAATTCTATTCTCAATGATGGAGCTGTGTTCTGAATTAACTGAACCACTGAAGCTTAATTCTAATTAACCATTATATATGCATGTCTGAGAAGCCAACTTAAGTTACTTTGGTTTAAAATAATATCTTTGTCTTGAGCAAAACTTAAAATGCTTACTGATAATGTACAGGGAATCTATTGTAAGTAATCTTAGCTGGGGTGTGCTAAGCAGCTCTGTGGAAGTAATCGGTCTCAAATTACACCAAGATGTCAGCCAGCCTGAGCCTGTTGCCTGAGCTGACCCACTGACCCACTTTCTGTCTCCTGCTCCAGCACATTGCCAAGGAGAGCCTCTGGTGGAAGTAAAGAAAGAAATAAAGACAAAGGGAGAAACCAGAGGGTAAAGGCAAAGAAAGTGAAAGCAAGAAGAGCCAGAAACTTGGGAGAGTGAGAGGGGTTGCCTGGTATTTGTCAGCTGTTGGAGGACTGGCACACCACCGCAGCTAAAAACTCACAGCATAGAGCTCCCAGCTTCCCGCTCAATACTGCCCGCCACTACTACACAAACTTCCGCCAAAGCTCAAACATGCATGTGCACACACTCAAATATGCAAGCTAACACAGGAAATCTGCTATTTCTATCAGCACAATGTTACGGTTACAACTATATTATTAAGCTAAATGCTAGTTGTGCTGCTAATGCACAGCATGAGCTACAAATGTTTGTGAACATACAACAGGCACTACAGATTTAACACAGTGTTCCACTAAATAGAGAGGTTATCCAAGGTGTGTAAGTGTATAAAATAGACTGCGTGAGTGAGCGAATGAGATGCCGAAGGAGGGAGGTCACCTGTTCACACAAAGACAGCGCACAGCAACACCAGCTCAGGGCTGCTGCTAAAAATAAACACAGTCTAAAAGCAAGCGTCAGACAAAAAGAACAGGAGACCCTCCTCTCTCCTCACTGTGGGTACAACTAACACAGGCACAACTCCCCCTCTCTATATCACCTTTTCAGTCAGTCTTCTCTGACATCAGTGTGACGCATCGTAGGGGTTTTACACACACTGTTCCACTACGTGTAACCCAGCAGTCCATGAGAACAAATGACTAAGCCAAGTATGCCACTTACATGCTTTATTACTTTATGAAGAAATCATATTTCATTACACACATACAGTACTATTACATGATTACCAGTATTACTCTTACTTCCCCATGAAATTCAGCTAATTCTGTTGCATTCTTGTGTTTGCAGTATCTGGTGATTACAAACATACTGCTATTCAGAGGAGCTGTCCTGTTCATTAGTTTTATTTTGACATATAAGCAAAGCAGGTCATGTGTTAATGACACTGACCTACAGTGGCTGCCTGGTTCCATCACAGAAATACTGACTGTACATTAAAATCACTTCCATAACCACAATGGCAAGACTGGAAAAATGATGACTGTCTTTTGTTTTTCCATTTCAGAGCTGCAACAACACTTGAATCCTAAAAGCTAGTCTCAAACACCAATGACTAAAGCCCAGTAACTTCAACCATATAAATAACCGATAAAATACACAGGTGAGCACCAAACCAATGATTGTCAGCAGTACTTAAGGAGCAGTGTGTCTTTTAAATGCTATGTGGGGCTGGTTAGTGCCCACACCCAGAACCAGATGGACAAAGAGCTGCACCACACTAGAGGTGCTCTTCATATGGGAGCATTTATAGATGCACAGATGTTGGGATTTTGTGAGAGATGGGGAAAGACAGAATGAAACACAGGACGAAAGAAAAAACAAAACCTATTTTTATGGGCTTGATTCCAACAACATGCCTTATACTGCAGCAGCCTGTACAACCCTGTTGTGTGTTTCAAGAGAGACAGGACTGTATTCATGCTCTGTGGGAGAGATAAGCGATGTTTAATGTTCAGTGGGAGTAAAGAATGAACGTACATGAAGAGGCTGCTACCAACCAACAAGACTAATCACAAAACATGACTGGAAAAATATCTGTGCACAGACGCTGGCATGAGATTCTGAATTCTACTAATTTAGCATAGCTGAATAAGAACTATCATCCTCCCTGTAGAGTTGACCATATGGACATGAAAGGAAGGGAGAAGAGAGAGGAAGTCTTTCCCTTTTGAAAACAGGCGGAGAGCACTGCATGAATAGACTCCATATTGCAGAACCATTAGCTGTGTCTAATTCAATGCAGGACAGCTATATTCCCAGTATAAACGGCTGCCATGCAGATCAAAAGTATATTGAGTTTCTGAGATGCTTGTTCTTGGGTTTATTCTTACAGATATAAGATAAAGTAAGGGTGAGGCTGTAAATCCAAGAGGGAGGAACAGTGAGTGTTATCACCCTGCCTAGTGTAAAGGGAGGGTCAAATCTGTTAGCCAAAGCAGAAAGGAGTGGCTGACTACACTAACTTGCAACTTTTACTTGAAACTCATTTACTTCATATTGTGACAGCGGGATAAACAGATAGGATGGAACTGAAATAACCAGAAAACACTCAATTCAGACATTCTGAGAAATTCAGCTTTTTCAGTCAGAAGTGAGTGTCTCACCACAATTACTATAAATGAGAAACAAAATTTACGCTAACTAAAAGATCACAGAGCTTGCAACCGCTTCCTCTTCCGTTTCTCACTGAGTCAAATGCAACCAAACAGTGACGTGCTGACTAACATGCTATATGGAAATACAACTAAGAGAAAAGAAACTTCTTTCTAGGCAAGTATAGCTGTTACTGCACTGAGCACTGACAGATCGGCCACTCAGTGGATGTGTAGAGTTCAAATTACCAAACACAACCAGCTGTTCAAAAATAACACAAGCACTTCAGAGATGCAATGCTGCCATTCAATGCGTGCAGCATCATGAAACGGACCTTCTCACTTATACACACACATCTTGTTCATATCTCTGTATCGCAATGTGGCCACAGTGGTTGGCTACAGGTATCAGGTGGTGAATATGAGCAGGAAACAGATAAAAGCTATTTATGTACAGCTTGGGGTTACTTACATGGGCTACAGTAGGAACATGAAGGATCATAACCGAGACACTTTGGGAAGCAACAAAGTTACCCTAAAAGCGAATGGTAATCTGTTCATGTTGCATAATTTTCAAAACAACGTTCTATTAACGTTATTGTCCTTCAATGTCCGGATTAGTTCGTACTAGCTTATACTGTCCCCTCTGCTCACTTTTATGGCAGCACAACTGAAAAACAGCATCTGATCAGTCATCGCAGGTGACTAACTGTTAATGCACCCAGTCTGTCACCATCCTGACCAGTATGACCTGATTCCCCGGACGAATGTGCCATTGCTCCTACAGCTAGCCAATGTTAGCAAAGAGCCAACTAACAAAGACAAAAACAGAGACAAGATCGAAATCTCTAACTCTAGAGTTTAAAGGTTTAACACTTACGTATACTGGTAATGGCCACGGATAGCCAGCGGGTTCTGCTCCAACCGGCGATTTGAGCTTGAGCTCCAGCTTTTCTCCCATTCTACACTTCACGGCGGCTTGGCTGTAATAGATAGCTAGCTAGCTAGTAACTGCTCTGTTAGCCAGCTGGTCGGTTAGCGAACGAGCTACAACGTGAACATTTTATAAGAAAAAACACGTTAAAATGCGTAAAATAAAAAAGACGTCGACGCTCGTTGCGTGGTAAATATACACACAGTTTGGTCAAATATATAACCGTGTCTGACTCGGTTTTATATTATGAATAAAATTCCTTTTTTATGTCCACTGGCAATAACACCCCGTCCGTATCGCCGCCATCTTGCCCGGCATGAATAAATATGGCAGGGGGCCACTGGTAGCTGAGGGGACACAGACGTCACCAAGGAGATCGTGATCGTAGCGCGTGGGCCAGAAACGCTGAGCACGAGCGAACGCCCATCCTACGGCGCGTGACAAGTACAGAAATGTACCTATTTTAAGCCCCGAATAAGAGAGCTAACAAGTCATTTCCTAAAGAAAACGATACTTTAAACTTATCACACAAGCCTAAATAAATATTAGATTTATACAGAGCAGCAGACACTTTGTTAATTATTAAGACTTTTCATGATCAAAATTGTAGCCTACCCTTTTTTAACAAAAAGAGACAAAATATTAATACATGTACAGGCTATACATATATAAAATGTGAAAGAAGAGCTTAAGTTATGGCTAAACAGATGGAATAGATTAATAGTGGTGTAACACTGTAAAGTAGTTAGTTTACTGTTACAAATGACCCACACATAAAAACACTAAAACAAGCTGGCAATAATCACAACATGGAGCACATTTGTATACCCAGTGTTTTCCTGCTTCCAGTGATTTGTAGAAATGTGCAGAATATATGTAGAATTGTTCTGCTTTCCTCTTCCCTAAGAACACCTTTCTCGCTCTCTCTCTCTCTCTCTCTCACTCACACACACACACACACACACACACACAACATGGAGCCTTTTCCCCTTCAAGCTAAATTAATTATAGCACAATTTTGTATCAGCAGCTACTGTGCTCCAGGTGTGTCAGTAAGCCATAACAATAAACTAGCACACCCACGTGGAATGCAGGCACACCTGTATTTAACAAGTAAAAGGGGTGACCGTGGTGGGGTGGGTAGAGCAGTCGTCTCCCAACCGGAAGGTTGAAGGTTTGAATCTTGGTGTCTGCAATCCACATGCCAAAGTGTCCTTGGGCAAGACGCTGTTCCCCCAACACTAATGGTGCGCAGCGGCCCTTGGCCCCAAACAAAATTTCATTGTATGTGTCACAATGACAATAAAATAAATGTCCACTGTGAGAAAGGTAGGCCCTTTGTTGGGACTGTGCGGAGTTTCTCTCTTTAGTTTACTCTTGGAGCTCTGATTTCAGACATTATTAAGGACTTTAATAGCCCAGTTTTCTTGATGTTTTTATTTGGTTACCGAACTCAGATTGAGGGCAGCACAGCAGAGAAGTGGTTAGTGCTGTTGCCTCACAGCAAAACGGTTCCGGGTTTGAGCCCGGGACAACCTGGGGCCATTCTGTGTGGAATCTGTATGTTCTCCATGTGCCTGTGTGGGTTCACTCCAGGTACTTTGGATTTCTCTCACAGTCCAAAGACATGCAGCTTAGGTTGACTGGTGACTCTACATTGCCTGTAGGAGTTTTGTGTGTGTGGCTGTTTGTGTACATGTCAGCCCTGTGATAGACTAGAGACCTGTCCAGGGTGGACCCTGTCTCTCACCCAATATCAGCTGGGATTGCTGCCCCGCCCCCCACAAACATTTAGCTGATCATTGATAGGCCTATATAAACACGAACACTATATAAACATAAATACACACTAATAGAGGGGGAGATTATTGACCAAGGAAAGTTGTTAAAATTCCTACACTTTGTCTCATGGCCTCAATTCTGACAGAGTTAAAAGGGGTAAAAATCTTCATATAAAACCAAAAACATTTCTTAATGATGGCTGATCAATATTATACACAGTGTATTTAAAAACTAAAAAGGATATATTAAGCCCCAGGTTTATGTAGCATTATACAACATGGAGTTCTTGTTAGTTTCAGTGTGTAAATAATTATGTTCATGGCTGTAATGCTCCATGCAGCTGCAGCATACTGTAAAGTACTGTTATAAACAACCAGCACTTGAAATCATAGCAGCAAACTGTCAATAATTATTTCCACATTTTCATGGTGATCATGCTCAGTCTGATCTGATCATCCACAGTACTAGATAGATCGGCTTCATTAATAAAACACATTACATTTACCATGAAACTGAGAACAAGCTGCCCAACTACAACAAACACAATATGATTCAAACAATAACCATGTTGTCCAGCCCTACAGAAAACATCCATCAGTCATAATTAATGCACATTTATAGCCATCTAGCACTAATACATTGGTATATTTTCTGTGCAATACAGGCTAATTACAGTACACAGCTGCAGGACTGTGAAGTATTCAAAATGAATGATTTATACTGTATTATGTGGTTGAGGTTAGGGATGGGTTTGTATGTGGTCAAATCACAGTATAATGTCCATATTCAGTTTGCCTGTCTATGTATCCTGTCTTTCAGTGCAATAATGTTTGGTACAAAACGATTTTATGCACGAACAGACAACAAGGACCATCTAATCTGTAGCTTTTATACAGTAATGTAATGAGCATGGTTATGGTACAATATTGACATTGATTTAGTTACTGGATTGTGTTTTTGTTGACAGAATAAGAAATTAAGTGTGAGTGGACAGTTGTGGAGAAATGATGCAACAAACTGAGGTGTTGAATGTTTGTGGCAAGTCCAAAGAGAAGAAAAACTGGCTGATTTAGCCTGGCAATCTACAACAGAGCTAGTACTGTTTTCAGACGACGGTTTAGTCATGTGCAACACGAAGGTGACCTTCAAAAGGTTGGTTCAATGGCACTGACCTGCACAAAAAGACAAAGTTCAAACTGACCTGCTATGGAATCTTGACTTTGTATTTACTGAATGTTTAAATTGACACTCAAACTTGAACTGGGAACTGTCATTGAAGAATCCTCCTCTGTCCCACACAAAAATACAGGGACACAGGCTCCATAACAGAGGACAGAGAAGACAGAGAGAAGAGAGTTACACAATCAACAAACGATAAACAAGATAACAAATTCAAAAGTCAAAGGGCATTTGGTCAGTTTGTAGGAGGATTGTAGCCTTCCAATGAGAAGTAGACATGATTTCAAATAGTGTACCTATAAGATATGCTGAGATGGGAGAAAGTGATGGGATTAATCATAATTTCCCTTCCTGGCACCAGAAAACAACAACAACATAAACCAAAATCTCATTGTGTTCTAGTGGGGTGAGGTGATAGACCTTATTACTGCACTATTCCTATAATGTTCACCTCCCTGTGTGGACACAGGCTGCACAACTACTGCTGTGTACTCAATTCAGTGCTAAATTAACCAAACTAAAACAACCGTTAAAATAACTTGATCTGGCAGTTGTGTCTTAATGCACTGTGTTTGTCACAAATTGTCAGGCTTCCTCAAATAGGAAGCAGAAGTGCTTTTACTCTCAGTATATCAGCCTTCATGTGTGATGTCAGTATTGGCTTTGTTCTGTGTTATGCATGTGGCAAAGTGCAAGTCAGTGTGGATGAGCTCCAAAATGAGCCGCTTATGCTGTCATGTCTTATATACATTCCAATTACCTCAAATATTTGACTGACCTTTATTTCAACAATGGCCTACATTTGTACATTAAAGCACTAGTAGACCTTTCGCTGCATTTCAGAGCAGAAATCCAGACAACTTAAATCTGTTCTAGTACAACCCTTAAAACATGGGGGGCTCTTAGTCTCTCTGCTGCTTGTGTAAACATGCCAGTGTATATGCTGCTGTATATTGAGGAGAAGAAGAGATGGCAGCTTGCCACAATGAACTCACTGACCAGGCCCCCTCCACCCCCCAGCTCCCTGAGCAGCACTGAGGCCAACTTTGGGATGAGATCCAGTAGCAGCACAGTGAGGCTCAGGCACAAGGCTCAGCTTGGCCAACTGGAACACAGTTGCTATGTAGATTTCTGGTATCTTTCACAGCGAGTCAGATTACAGCAAACCCTGTCCTCTCCACTGCATCACCGGGGCATCTTCTACTCTTGCTGCCATAACCAAGGTCTTTTGTGGATCCACACTTCAGTACATGACACAGACCTGGCAGTAAACAACACACATTCATAGCTTACAAGAGGATGCCCATTAAACACAACACACACGCACACTGAATACAATATGAATGCTTTACATTTTCCCATCATTCCCTTGCAATCAAACCGACTCCTGAGAGTGCCACTAACCATTTTTAACATGTGACCTCTCAGCAGGAGTGAAGTGAACTGGAGTGAATAGGCTGATCAAAATGTTCCTCTTCAGTTTGCTTTATTGAAAAGGTGTGCTAGTACCGTGTGGAAGATTTGGAAACTGCTGCCATCTACAGGACATCCTCTTCACTGCAGGCCTCAGTAATCGTAAACAAATGTTAGTTCATCATACAGAAAGGGGGGAAACCTATTAAAACATCCACTAAATACAACAGTCTCATTTATAATAGTATCGGAATGGTGTATGCACACAACTCCTCAGTGCTTCTAAAGGGCAATTTTTGTACCTTGTACTTATCTAAAGGAAACAATTTTGACCTTTATCAAAGCTCAAAATATGAATCTCTATAAATGTGATGCTATTTGTGTGTTCATCATAACCAAGCCACATACAGTGCCATATGTGCGTTACATTCATGGCATCACTATCCATTTCCAAGATGAATTACTTTTCATAACAATGTCAGATTATTTCCAAATAATTTTATTGAAACAAAGAATTTCAATCCCAGTCCCTTATTTTCAAAAAGCGTGCTTTGGGTTTTAGCGCCAACATTTCATGACTCTTCTCCAAAGCCCTCTTTGCTTGTACAGCAGCATATACATATTCAAACAAAAGAAAAAAAAAACTATACAACAGGTCATTTTGGCACAGTTAACTCATATGACGTACTCTTGTTCTTGCCTATCTTTACTTTCAAAGTGTTTGCTTCCCACTGGAGCAAAATGTGTTTACTTGACAGCTCATTCATGATAGATTTTGACCATAAAAGATGTAATATAGTAATCAAGTCAAAACAAGATACAGTGGAGAATGGAGGAGAAATGTCTTCCTTGTAAAAAATTGCAGTACTGGGCAATGCTGAGTGTTGGTTCTGGTGTCATAAAAAATTCATGTCCACTCCTGCCTAGACATCATCCAGCCAGCCTCAATCTTGGCCCTGCAGCAGTGCTGTGATGAGTCTCAGAGCATTGGCCTTAATATAGCGTTTGTACTGGGAGAATGCTTCAGTCTGAAACCTAACATTGCATTAAAACACTTCATCCCAGTCATGCAAATCCCATCTGAAGCAAAAGCACCTCCTGATGTCTCACACGCTGAGAAAATTTCCACTGCATCATAAATTTTAAGGATTAAAAGAAACAATAACAGGAAGTAGAGAATACTGAGACATGGTCCTTTGCCAACACTTGGTAGTGTATTGTTTCACCCCACTTGGGTAGCACTTCAGTATATATGCTGGTCAGAGCCATGTCTACTTGATTAGATACTGATTTATCTGGACTAGGCCTTTGCTTGGATAGGTTTCCCCACCCAAGTAAAGATACAAAGACTGTTTACTGTAACATCTGTAAAGCATGCACTCTGATGGACAAAGAGATTAAAGTGTCATTTAGCCAAAACGCCCAGGTAACAGCAAGATCAGGAGGAAAAAGTGCAGATATTTTTGTATTCACATAAGGTTGATATAAGAAATGCATTCACTGACAAAATTCAACTCGTTATACAGCATTTCTAATTTTGCTTTGAATACGCCAAGTGGATCTATCTTGATTAGACACTTCTCAGAGAAGAGAGCTGATCCAGGACCATCCTCCACTGAATATGTGACATCACATTTGAAAAGCTGGTTGGACGTTCGCAAGGCTCCACTTGGAAGATGATCACGGATGGCTTCATCTTAACAGTCATCTCAAATGGACTACCATGTGGGCTGATGAACAGATGAACAAAAAAGCTGAGCTCTTATAGACGATGTAAACGCTGCTGTTTCATCATATCTAAAGGTGTTAACTTAGGATACATCAACCTCAAACTCTGAACATTCTGAAGACTAAACAAAAAAGCCTGTAGATCTGAATCGCCTTATCTGCATCATCCTACAATCAGAGATCTTCCATTAGGATAATGAAAGTCAGGCTGGCAATGGACTCTGCAGATAACTTTGAATAACTCTATTGCTACAAAAGGCCTCATGAACTAACCATAACAAAGAACCACTGCTATAAGCAATGAACAAACACTGCATAATGATTGTATTCAAAGAAAATCTACAGCTCTAGAGAAAATGTTTGTCCACTTTGATAAGACATCCACACAGGGTTTTAGAAAAGAAAAGCCAAGCACACAAACCTCTCTCTGACTGTGTGCATTGAGAAGCATCATTTTGATTTCATCAACAGTAATATCAGCTTTTTTTTTTTTTATAAAAAGGAAACAATTAAATGCCAAAAGACAGAAAATTAGATGGGCAAGGCAGCTTCTGAATAAAATGAAACATTTCAGGTGTGATGACATAATTAAGAGGCAGCTTTTTAACAAGGCAACAAAAAGACAGTCAGAAGTTAACCTTTTGTGCTACAGTTGCAAAAAAAAAAAAAAAAAAAAAAAAAAATTCAACATCACAACCATTTGCTTCAGTATATGGGGAAAGCTGAGACATCATTCACTTAATCTTTCTCTAATCAAAAACAAATTAATTGCATTTGGTTTTTATCTCAGTGCACCACCCCGCCCCCACCTCTGTGCACAATAAGCAGGGTGGGCTGTTGTGGTTTAACTTTACAGATAAACCTGCCCCCCCCACCCCAAAAAAAAGTGTCCTGCTTAGCCCTCACTAGAGCCTTTAGCCCTGGTGAGGGGAATACTCCCTCCATGGCATCTTTAATGAGAACATGTTTAGAACAAGCAGAATCCATAGTTTTCCTTGATCTGCTTGGTTTCCAGAGATAATAGGGAAACAATGTCTAATAACTACTTTTAAAGTTGCTGTTGATCATACTCGGCAATAAGTCTCTTTATATGTGCCAGTTTGTTGTGTAGATATTCACAGCGGTTCTTCTCTTGGCTATAGTTTGGATTAGTCTGCAAGGGATGTGGGAAAAACACAGTCACAACCTGATAATTTACCCAAACACTACATGTCATCAAATTCTGATAACGTGTTAAAACCTACCTTTTTAATTTTATGATATTCTTGAAGTATTTGATTGTGGATTGTCTGTGAAGACACAAACAGGGCAACTGATATGAACATATGAAGGGTTTTCTTTGAGTTGCTCAGATTTGTGTGCATCCTTTAGGGAATCTACCTTGTACTTGTCAGTGCCTTGCTGGAGCTGTTTGAGCTCATTGTCAAGTACAGTAAACTGCCGGGTGATGCCCTCTATCCGAGCATGCAGATTCCGGTACTCACTGTACTCTGCGTTGAAATCGTTTTTATACCTCTGACGCTGCTCTGGAGAGCCAATCACTGTGTACTTTCTAGGAAGAGAGGGAATAAAAAGTTAAGGAATGGAGATTTTCACAGAAAATCACATAGAACACATACTTGGTTCAAGTGAGGGAGAAATAGTCATTAGAAAGAAAGAAACTCAGCACAAACCAATTAAATTTTTACCTGACACTGTGAGCCCCACCTCAGACAAAAGCAACACCACTACACCCCCACAGAAACTTCTGTTATACAACCCCTCCATGAGTTTCAGCTCTGTTTATTTATTAAGCTAGATTTGTTTTCATTTTGGCAAACTGTTAAAAGGTGACCTATTAACAGGTCCTGTCTGCAATGTACAGTCAACTATCACAGGATTACTTTGATCCTGAATAAAATGTGATGGTTGGATGACATGTCTGAGTTAAGAGAAGTCATTCTTCTATGAGATAATGATACCTTCAGTGCCTTGTGACTCAGAAGTACACATTTTGACACAAATGGATAGCTGGGTGCAGATAAGGCCAGTCGTTTTCTATATTAACATTTTCAACACTCCCCATACAGAGACAAAAATTGACAATGAATTGTTTCTACTCACGGTTAATGGTCATCATTGTCTCAGTCCTGGATCATTTTATTCGTCTGTGTCATAGTCTTCCACTGTTCAAAAACATCAGCGAAACATCACTATGCAGGGCGGCATATTTCTTCATTAGCAAACCCCAGATATATATATATGCACATTTGACTCTGTGTCGCGCCAACATCATGATATTATGGCCCCTCAGAGCCTTTGGGGCAACAAAGTAGGGCCCAAGGTTTAGTAATGAAAAGAATGCCGCCTTGCATAGTGATGTTCCGCTGTTGTCCAAAAACATCAGCAAAAGTCCAGGCACAGACGAATAAAATGATCCAGGACTGAAACAGTGATGATCATTAACCATGAGCAGAAGCAATTCACTGTCGATGTTAGTCTCTGTATGGGGAGTGTTGAAAATGTTAATACAAAAAAAAAAAAAAATGATCGGCCTTATCCTTTAAGTGCTTTACTTGCCTCAGATAGCAGTGTTTCAAAGCAACTGTTGGTAAATGGCAAAATGATAATTATCTAACTTTCTTTTGGATTTAGGGCGTTGGCATATACCTGCCCTTTTCATCTCATGTAGTTTTTAACCACATCTCTCTCTCTCCGGGGCCCCGCTTTACTCTCATGCCCCCTTTGGAAGACATTGCTTACAGTTTGAAAACCTCAACTTTATTCCTAAAAATAGTGAGAAATCAAATTCTCTTAGCTAGAAGCATGGATCTATTGGGACCTAAACTTGTTGACATACTCACAATAAATAGTCTGCCACCTCAGGTGATGACAAAGGAATACTGGTACTATTGCACATTCCATTCAGATCTGAAACAAGGTCACACAGTTAGAAAATTGCATTAATCTAAATTGGTTATCTTTGCTGTGTCTCTATGTGTGAAAGATGTTGTGGTGCAACTGGAAAGGCAACACAACAAAATGTTTTTTATAGTTAATCTCAAATTGTCTAAAGGTGCTGTCTGGCAGCTGGATTCACAGGTGTCTGCTTGAGGTTACTGAAAGCAAAGCTGAACAGCAGGGGTCTCCATTCAATCAGTGAGTCACATGATGCATCACCTACTCACAGTAATGACTAACTGGTGTAAATCCAAATATGAACTTCTATCCAGAAATCTTTTATCTGGTGCTGTGAATTTAGCAAATAAGACTGTGAAGAAAAAAATCTTTGTGTGTGTGTGTGTGTGTGTGTGTGTCTGTCACCTGTGCTTTTCTGTGGAATACTGTTGCTTTTTACACTTCCTGGGCTCATCTCACTGGCTTTAACAGGCTCAGGCACACACTCCTCATTGGTCTTCATGCCCTTCTGCTTCTCCTGCTCCTTTTCTCTTGCTCTCTCCTTGTCTTTATGCTTTTTTGACTTCTTCCTGGACTTGCTGTTGAAGGATGAAGAACTCTTGTCCCGAGCACTATGCAAGACTGTGTGTCCAGGAGATGGCGTGCCGGTGGTAGGCACGCTAAGTACTGTTGACAAAGAGAATTTTGAAGGCGGTTGGCTGAGCCTCTCAGACATTACTGTTTCTTGAGAGTCACAGTCTCTCCCGTTGTGGCTAGAGTCATTACTGACGTCCGACAGTGCTTCAAAAGGACGAGGGATGTCCAGTACAGGCAGCTGCTGGGAGCTTGATGCCATGCCGCTGTCTGACATAGAAACCACCGCTCCTGCCTGTGCCCCTCCTGCCTCTGCTCTTCCACAAGAGGAGCTGAGCTTGCCATTAACTTGGGCTGTTGCAGCCTTGCTGGCGAGGTGTGATATCCTGGGCTTTTTATTGACAAGCGGGTCAATGAAATCAGAAGCAGACCGTTTCTGGCAGAAAAAAAAAACAGCATTTTTAGTAGCAAAACCTAAAATAGAGTTCAACATAAACTCACTTCACCTCAGAGTGAGCGAGGGGAAAATGCAGTCTGGATCAGAGCAAACAAAGATGGTCGAGCTGCAGAGGACAAGGGAGCGTACAGAGGAGAGGCTCTAGTATCAAGGCTGCTGCACACTATTTTAAATCAAATTTAAGACTTTTTAAAGTCTTAAACAGGAAAAAAAACCATTTCCACAGCAGAACAAATACAAATTAACACAGGTGTAGCATGTGTATCCATGTTTCATTCAAATAAAATGACTGAATATCATAATTATGCAGCCCATGTATATGCATAATGCATTATATACGCTTTAAAGCAAATGCGTATTTAGATGACAATTACTGGTGCAACCATACAACCTATGGCTGTGAAAACATTTATAATGGAAAGAACAGCATGTATGGTTTTGATAACTTGCAGGCAACAGACAAGTGTAATCAAATTTTTATGAACATCTGTGCTACATATACATATTCAATTGTCAATTTAGTAAGTCTACCCAAACAAAAACAAAAAAAAAAAAAAAAACAGTTCTACCTAAAATCCTCCCTCCTGATTGTTGTAATGTTCAGTTTTGTTGAAACTTTGTATTCACTTTTGAGGCTGTGGTTTGTTTCTCAGTAACACACCTTGATATAATTTGGGGAAACAAGATTATAGAAACCCCTCAGTATAACACAATGTAATTCAACAGCAGCAAAAACCACAAACCCTACCTTTCAGTCGCAACAAAACACAGAACACTATAATGTTCATGACAGTGGAGGTTTTATTACAAGACTGGTTTAGGACTTTAGCCCCTAACCCTTTCATTTTTTTTAATTTAAAGTAAGACTTTTTAAAGGATCTGCAGGAAACTTGAGTATGCTTCCTAGAAGTATGGAGGCTGTGATGACTGTGCCGTCTTTTCACAATACCAGGAATTACATGTCAGACAATCTTTGGGAGTGGCTGAGAAAACCAGTGTTGACTGTCCCCAAAAGGAAGACTGGAGCATTCTGAAACAACAGCTAGAACCAGCCTGCCTAGCTGTTTCATAACTAAGCAGTTATGAAAATATCTCTCTTCTTTTTGGCCGTCCATTCACACTAAGCTGTCATTTTTACACTGCTCAACAATACCCCTTCCAGTGACAGCTGTAAAAGCCTTCCTCAACAAAAAATGGAGCAGAGAATTTATCTTTTGTTTTTGCATTTTTGTATGACAGGAAAACTTGAAAATAAGTGGAAACCAAGTGTTAGAGGGGGCACATGTTATTCCCCCCAATCATGGTGTGGACATGGTCTCTCCTTGTTTACCTTGCTGTCCTACCTGAGCCATCCCTCAGCTATCTCTGGTGTACACACAGCTTTACCTGCTGTTGGATTTATACCACTAAATCTAAAAGAGCCTGAGATACTGTTTGTGTACTGTGTTAACTGAGGAAAAGAGTGAATAGGAAGGGGGCAAACACTAAGTGTCTGAGGTGAGAAGAACCTGAGAGGAAGGAGATACTAGCCCAATAGCAAGGACAATAATCTCAGCCTCAACACGGACAAGATGAAGGAGATGATAGTGGACATGAGGAAGGAGAGGAGATCTCATCGGCCACTGTTCATCCAGGGGCTCGAAGTGGAGAGGGTGAGCAGCTTCAAATACCTGGGCATTCACATCAGTGAGGACCTCACTTGGACACTTAACACCACACAGCTGGTCAAGAAGGTCCAACGGCAGCTGTACTTCCTGAGGAGGTTTGGCATGTCGCCTAGGATCCTCAGCAACTTCTACAGCTGCATCATTGAGAGCATCTTGACCAGCTGCATCACTGTCTGGTATGGCAGCACTACTGCTATGGACCGCAAGCGCCTGCAGAGAGTGGTAAAGACTGCAGAGAAGATCACCAGGACTCCACTGCCCTCTCTGCAGAGCATTTACCACCGCAGGGTGCTTTTGAAAAACTCTTTCTTTCCCTCTGTCATCAGACTCCTAAACAGCTGAGGAGTTTATTACCAGGAAATAAGTCATGTACTGTTTACATTCTCAGTTTGCACATGCATAATTGCACAATGACTGTTGACTGCTGCACATGCTGCTCCCATGCAGCATACATTCTCTGTTATATTATATATTTTTATTATATCTCTTCATTTGCTGCCTTAAAGTGCCTTACTTATTTATCTACTTTATATATTTTGTGGCATTCATGTGGACGGCAAAGTAAGAATTTCATTGTACAGGAAAACACGTTGCCTAACTGTGCATATGACAAACACTTTGACTTGACCTTGACAGAGCAGTTCCTCTTTCCTTTACTTAACAGAAGTGTAAACAGTGGACAAACTCAAAAGTATGGACTGATATATACAATATAAATAGCAGGTGGAGGAGATTTAATGGTACTCATACAACTAATAGGCCCACAACCCGTCAAAACTTTTAGAACACCTCAATTTTTGCAGTCGCTAATACTGTAATTCAGCAGCCAAACACACTTGTGGTGATCTTCCTATAATTGAAAGCAAATACTGTTCATATTGACAGCACTGTTTCAGATGTTCCCACACATGTGCTGCACACTTGTAGGTTGCTTTGTTTTCCCTCTTTACCGGAAAAGGTTTGACTTCTTTGTTAAGTGTGTGTGTGTGTGTGTGTACACACCTACAGTATATATTTTTTTTTATTTCCCCCCTCTCTTTCAAATGCTCAGAAACCCTCTGGAAAATAAGTATACCCTGATTAACAATGTAAAACATTAGCAATTTTGACCTAACATCATGAAAATATCCAGCACTATCCCACTGGAGTAAAAACAAGCTGTACAACTGGGAAAAATGAAAACCGTGTGGCTGTTTAGAGATGGAGAAGTAAATAGAAGCGAGAGACAGAAGGAAAAACAGGATGCTCACCTGAGATGGCGAGCTGCTGGCCAGCTCTTTGGGTGGACTTTCCGGTGGAGGTGCAGAGCTGTTCTGGGTTTGGCACTGTTTTCTAAGAGAGTGAACACGTACATGCACATAAACACACACATACAAGAAAAAAAACAAAACAAACTGAATATATTTCTATTGCAGCACACCAGGAACACTACTTCAACTGTCCAGCTATCTGTTGATGGTGATGGCATTTCCAATGGCACTGATGCAGCAATGTTGGACAATTCAATTCATCCGATTGTTCTTCCGGTGTAAATATTGTTAATTTATTCGACCAGGCTCTTGAGGTCCTGAAAGGCTAAAGGCCTTGTGAAATCTGCCTTATGTGTAGTCATTTGTGCTCTTTGAGCACATTAAATTACTCTCAAGCAATTTCTTCAGAGACAGGCTAATTCTACAGATGCACGAGGACATTACAAACGGTCACATTGTGAAGTTGAATGTGTAGCTATAGCAACTGAATAAAAGGAGGAGCTACCTGACAGAGGAACATTTTATTACAAACACACACTTCAAAAGGCAAAATTTCAGTGATTAAATGTGTACAACTTTTCTACCACTCCTCACTGTTTTTAGGATGTTTAATGGAAGATTCTGTTTTTGTTTTCCTGAAAAGAAATGCCTAATCTCATATACACTGCTGCATGTTTATTTAGTGGTTGATCATTTCTGGCAGCTGCTTCATGACAGCTGAAAAAGTGGCATGACACACTACAGTGAGAGAGAATATGGTACTGCATAGTAATTTGGGTATGGGTGTTGTTTGGGAGGTTTTGCTGGCAATATGTGCACCACAAACTTGACTAGATGGTCTTTAAATGGAAACAGGAACATCCTTTATTTGTTTTCATTCTGCACTATTACTGACCGCCTCCACAAGAGGCTTGACCAACTGCATTTGGATTTGCCTGCTTGTGATCACATCTGCCAGGACCCATCTTATTGCCAGATATGAACAGGTCAGGCAGCAGTAGTATCAAAACAAAAAGAGCTGTGCCAATATACAGCTATCCAATCCAGATAAACAGTGCCTAACCAATACAACCAAGTCAAAGTTAGCACACAGAATGAAAGCCAGCCCATTGATCCTATTCCTATTGATTGGTAAACTCACTAGTAGTGGCCGAGTTTCAGTCTGGCAAAACAAACTGGTCTATCTCTGATTTTAAAGTTTATTGATGCTAGCAAAGAAGCCACAAACACAAACATGGCTAATTAATCTGAACATGCACATTTAGTTTGATGATATTATCAGTAGGGGGCAGTTGGGTACACAAAGTCTTGTCAATGCCCCACCCTAGTTCAATCAGGGCATGTGTCTGTGGTGGGGTAGTCATGCAGACATGTGGGAGCTACGAGTGAGACAGCAGGTAGACCGGTACAACTGAACCTTGGACCAGTGCCACCTCACACACAGATCAGCATGTGCTGGAACACTGTTGCATCACACGAATTCTATGCTCACATTGGTGTGTGACCAACTATATACACACTCAAGACTCTGGAAAAGCTGGGGAGGGGGAGGTAGTGTTAGGTGGGAGGCTGTGGTTGTTAGCTGATAACCTCACAAACAGCGCTCAAAGTATGTGAAAACACAGACACAAGGCTCTAAGTATGTGCAGATATGCATGGCTTTACAAAGACATGCACACAGAAACTAGACTGAATAAACAAACATAGTAATAAGAACACTAATTCTATATAGTGCACTAATAAGTACCACGTTTGTGAAACTTTTTTTTCATAAGGCTGTTGTATTGAGCCATTTTTGGACAGACCTTCCCATTGAACTGAATAGGTAAGCATGTCCAAACCTGTGACTGGTGGTGTGTATATATGACCCTATGTAAATAATGTAAATCCTAGAAGCACCTTTAAAGAGTCCAATAAAGCGCAAAAAATGTCGTAAAACTATGATATTAGCAGTCACAGCAAAAACTGGACTTTTCAGGTATGTAAATCAGTATCATGTTGCAGGGCTACTGCCTCATACAGGTCTTCCTTCTGTCCACTCAGTGTTGGCTCTAGTCACTCTAGCTGCCCTTGGGTTTGTACCACAGGTATATTAAAGCAAACCATAAACAACAGGAGTTATTCTCAAGTCCACTACATAAACAAAAGGAGAGTTGACCACTGCTGCCTGGTCTATAAATAGCTAGCTGGGAGCTTGCTTTTCCTTAATGTCCCCTATCCTGAGAAACCTGAATTTTCCACTGGGAAAAAGGCCAACAGCTCATGCTGTCAAACAACAATTCAGGTGGAGCACAAACAACAAATCAACACTCTCTAACAGCCTAAACTGAGGCTCAAAAAGGTCGACCTAGTTAAAGCAAATATAAAGAATCAGCAGTTACAAAAAATGTTAATGTAATAATGAAATTCACTGCAGGGACTGTGGAGGGACTTAGGCTTCATCATCTAAAACAGTGGTCCCCAACCTTTTTATCACTGCGGACCGGTCAACGCTAGACAATTTTACTGCGGCCCGGGGGGGGGTACGTAGATTGTTTATATTGTAAATATAATAATAAATGTGAATTTACTGTGTACTTGTATGCAACTTTATTAGCAGCTTCCTCGTAACATTGCGCCAACAACATAACATGAGTATAACATCAAAGTCTCAGTTTTCAGTGCTGTGGTTTACGATCTCAGGGTATTCTGTCATGACTTTAATCCAGAACACCGACAGAGTTGTTGTCTCGAACATACTTTTAAGGCCGCCGTCATTTGCGATCTCCAGCAGTTGATCTTCTTCTTGCACAGACCTGCTGGATTCACCTGGTTTGTTGACAAATGGGTTGCGGATCCATTCCTTGGCAGTTCGTGGGTCCTTTGTGGTTGGGAAGTAGCGCTCGAACTCTTTTAAAAGCAAAGACAGGTGATCGTGCACCAGCTGGGAGAATGAAGGCTCTGGCTCAGTCTCACCCAAAATCCCCGCTAATGTTTTAAACATGTCCAAAATGCCTCTGTTGACGCGCCGTCCCCACAAATCCAGTTTGGCTTTAAATGCAGCTACTTTATCTGCCAACTTGAAGACAGTTGTCATTTTCCCCTGAAGTGACAGATTGAGTTCATTGAGCAGGCTGAATATGTCCACAAGTAAGCCAGTTTTGGCGCTCAAGTGACCGAGATGTAACCGAGAGAATGCGGTCATTTTTCAAAATAAAAGATCGTTCAGACTCAGATAATAAATAAAACGGAAATAATTAATAATTTCTTGTACGGCCCGGTACCAGTTGATCCACGGACCGGTACCGGTCCGCGGCCCGGGGGTTGGGGACCACTGATCTAAAAGACCTACTCACAAACACTGCAAAATAAACTCTTAGTCTACACCAACTCTGATTCATCAAATTACCAGTGTTAAGAAAAAAAAAAGAACTAACTTAGTGGGCTGATTCAAGAATGACTACAAAAAATAAGCACATTACACCAATCTTTAAAAAAATATATACACATTTATCGCCTTTAGGTGCTAAATGTGTCACTGCGCATTGTGTTTCAAAATGACTGTTCAGCTCCCCTAAATTTATGGCTGAAGAGATTCTTCATTAGAACAGGGTGATGTGTGGGTTTCATAGTGAGAGTACACATCTCTGATGTACCTAAACAGGATCCTCTTGAGAAGCTGCTGGTCGCCCTCTGTGTAGCCTGGCCAGTCCTTCTGAATTTCCTTATACAAAAAGTCCTTCAATGTGAAGGTGTTGTCTTTCCCATTGAGGTTTGCCACCTAGGTAATGAAAAACAGCAAAGGGTAAGTCTGCTGCCTTCTGTAGTTGAGGATAATCAGAAGGGATAACTTCACTGTAAGGTCTAGACGATGTACTATTGTATGTACTATTGGAAAGCATGTGTACAACCTGTTGCAGGTGGCTGTCCAGGGAGTCTTTGTCTAACTGTGAGAGGCCGTCTTTCTGCAGCCTTAGTATCAGCTCAGGCTTCTTGTAAGGCTTGAGGGCCAGCAGGTGGAGGAGGCGCTCTCGGAGCGGCCTGTGCTGGGTCATGCTTTTCTTCATTGTACTGCTAGAGATGATGACAGGCCGAGATGTTCTCCGTAACGGAGCGATATCTGAGAGGCCAGGTGCCGGTTTCCGGATCTGAACCTTCTTGCCTGAAAGAAGTTACAAATGTGAAGGAAGAGAAGTTGAGACTGCACAGAGGGGTACTGCAGACTTCAAAACAAAAAGAAAATACTGTGATGACACCAATTAATTTTCTGCTTATCTACATTTATTTACCTTACCAACAGTTTTTAGTGCTGAACTTAATGTCCTGTTGTGTGCACTCTTTGGTAATTTGGTGTTAAATTCAAAACTATAAACTGAGGTTTGGAATAAAACTCGTACAATGCACATAGGTACAAGACAAAAGGAAAGAAAACAATGAGCAAAAGACATTCAGCCACAGTGATTCTGGAGCATGTAAGGCCTTCTAAGGTTTAATGAGATTTTCAGCTTGAGAATTTTAATTACAGGAGGAATTTTGTGAACTATACTATAATCGATCACTGAAACAAAAGAACAAGTGATTTTTTTTGGCTGGCAGCCAATACTTGCATGTTTTGGTCAAACAAACAAAACAAAATCTCAAAAGGAATTCATCTTAACTAACTGTTAATGACTGGAAGAGCTTGCAGATAATTCATAAGAGATGGCTCTTTATCACTGCCAAGTCCATTCAAATGCACCTTCCATTATAAACATCAGCTATCACCACCTTTTCCTGCTGCGACTTTTGGTCAAGTGATTCAGATTCAAATGAATTTTGTGTTGCCTCCTACTGAGACTGAAACAAAGCACACATGGACTAAATATTTTTGGACTTGCAGCTGAACAGTAAACAAGTTTACACTGGATTTCATTCGTTGCAATGCTGCTGTGGTTTTTCCACTGCAACTGTTGCTCGGTGCATTTTATAATACAACTCAAAAACCTAACAACAAAAAGGCAGCAAGTTGATGCATTATGCCTTGGTACATGTTTACCTCTTTTTGTTTATATCACATTCAAAGAAAGAGAATCAGTGCGTATGTGGTGCATTATATGCTTGACCATTGAGGAGCCAACAACCATCAAATTCGATAAGTCATGGTTATAGACAGTGTGCTGGACCTCTGGTATTCAGCCCTGGATCACAAATGACCTGTCTGGTCCAATGTGAGCCCATTGACCAGTGGCGAAAGCCTGCACAAACACATGGGCCATTTAGGGGTATGCAGGGTACAGATACTCTCCCACTTGCTTTATGCCTGTTAACACCCTTACAGTGTTTAAATGGCAATATTTCTTTCCTATCAACCAGAAGAAGCTGAATTATTAGGTACTAGTGGTTTCAAGTCCATGACTGAAAAAAAAGGTCCAGCTGACTTGAGGTATTCATTTGTCAATATCACATCTCCTCACCTACATATCGTCCCCCAGGCTTGATGACGATGGCGCTCCTACTGCGAGTCTCCTCCTCCACCTGTGCCATGCTTTCCCTGGCCTTTTGGTAGGAGTCGTCAGTGGCACATACTGTAATCTTGTCTTGGATCCCACCCAAACAGTCCAGCTGAATGCTGCCTTCACTGCCAAAACAAAGACAAGTTGTTCAGAGAGGAAGACAGGTGACCAAAAGCTTCAATCAGAAAAGAAAAGACAATCACTAATTATTATCAAGGTGCTGTATGAGAAGATCCTGCCTTAAAATACTGAACATAAATTGACTACTACAAGTTCATTCTCAGCATCAGCCTTGAATCTCTTCTGCAATAGCCCGTTTCTTCACTGTGTATTTTATGTACAAATGAGATCCATTTAATGCACTATTATTGTTAATTTCCATTCAACTGTGGGTTCCCACAGTCCAACTCACTGCCACATCAAATCTCGACTTTCTGGCTCCCTTTGATTCCCTTCCACTCCGATGAGGATCTAGCAGAAAATGAGATGGTGTGGTGCAGGCAGTGGAAGGTGAGCACTGTCATTTGGATTTTAGATTAGAACTCAAGGTTGATTAGGATCCAGTCAGAGATGTGGATGAACTCTGACACACTTGTTACAAAATATTTGCAGAGTAATGGGGCCAGCCACAGGACAGCCAGAAGCAGAGGATTCTTCTTGTTCTTGTTTTCTACTTCTTTTCACTTTAACACAGACATCGAGCCCTATTCGTTTGATTCAGTCAGCATTTTCTGCATATGTTAGGCTAGAGATAATGTGCAGAATGAGATTAATGGGTTTTGGTGGAAGAGAATTGACCCACATCATGAACAGGTCTTGTGTTGCTGCAGCTGCTACTATAAAAACACAATTGCAGAAGGACGGATATTAAAATTGAAATGTATTTGAACACTAAATAGTTTTAATTTGCACTGGAAATATAGCATAGGTCTTTCAGAAACTAATGCATGCACTCTTTTGAACTTCATTCTTATTTTGCAAAACCTAGTTCAATGATTAATTTACTTTAGAAAAATAACTGAATAGTGCCACAAAGGTCGCTTTTGATTTTACTGACAGAACCCAAGTCACTTGCCAGTGTCACCTTTTCACAATCGCTTTATTGTAAATACATAAACTAAGTACCAGTATGTTGCGTAATGCCCATAACCCCAAGAGTTGCATATTTCCATTTAGTGGCTGCTACTTGGAGCCCCTGTTGTCTTCATCAGGGATGCCTGTTGGCAGTTTAATGATTCAACTCGGGTCTGAAGTACTGTATGTTAAACTAACAGACTGTTTGCCGGAGAACGCTCATTAGGTAACTCATGTCCAAAGACCGTTGACTATTGAACAGAGCTCAAAGACAGTAAACTCTTGATTGAAATGCCTGTGCACAATTAATATGAATTACAACACAACAGTTAATACATTTGTGTTTCTGAACAAGAAGAATTAGTTGCACACTTTAGAAAAAGAAAAAGTGAGTGGGACTGAGTGTTTGTTTTCACCTGGTGATGTACTGCTGGATGCAGTCGAAGCTGCCCTGGGGGTTATCTCTGCCCACATTTGATAAATAGAATGTAAACGTTTGCAGTTCATTGAGATTTTCTGACCGTGGTATTGAAATTTTCTGTTGAAGACAAAAAAAAAAAAAAAGATGTACACAAACATATGAAAACAACACCAACTACCTATATTCTAAACCAATTGTTGTTGTCGTCCAAATAACACTAGAAATCAAAAGCGCACATCTCTTTCTGCTTTTTAGTACCATCTTAGGCCGTTTCTTTCATAAATGTGATTTCTCCATTATTTTCACACCTGTATATTATTAACATCATTTGGATACCTTCCAGCCAAGCCCTATAAAAGGATGACTAACTGCACTCCACACTCTGTTAGCAGATTTAAAACTAATTCTTCTAGCTGATGTATTAGGTACTATAGACAAATGTCAGTGCTGTACACCTTGAAAATTTGGCCCTGGCTAAGCAGCACCGTGAATAAGCTTAAGGCATTTTTTCTCTTGCATCAAAAACACTGAAAACCTCACAAAATGGAATTAAATTCCACTGCCTTCTCTTTTACCAAATCATATCTACTCAGACATACTATGCACAGCAAGTGTTCCTGTGTTCCCTGCATGTGAGGAACTGCAGATAAATTACTATAGCAGAAGAACTATGATAAGTACCTGCACTCTCTGGCCTTTGACACAGTTATTCCACCCCCACAATTACCTCTGTCACCCTACAGGTCTCTTTTTAGAAGACTATGGAGGAAGTGTTAACCACCAAGCTGCAAACCTCTGACAACCTACTTAAATGGAGGAAATAATCTGTCATATGTCATCTGGAAGGCAGATGTTGCAGTTTTGCTCTAAAACACATCTTGCACCATTACTGTTGGGCACTGTGTGAAAATGGTTAACATTTTAATTCAGTCCAAAGGAGCATGTCAGTAATCATCTTAAGAGAGAAAGGAGGAGCTGAGAAAGCCCCGGATTACACTGTATCCTCATTAGAATGTCAGGCCAATACTGGATTAATATGACAGGTCCTGAAGAGAAAAACACCAGTTTTAGACAGAGGGCTGTGTTTCCAAAAGGGGCCGGTAGGCTGACCCATGAGCCGGGACTCAAGCAGTGTCACAGCCAGGGACTATGCATCACACTGAGCCAGGGTAACCAAAGACAGATGAAGTTACCAATTAGACTGTTCTGGATGCATAGTACAGGTCCTTCTGACCAGTGAGCAGCTCATCGACATGGCCTACATCAGAGGCTTTGCCTTTAACTCACTGGCTTCTTCTGACGTGCGGTCAGACTGCAGGAAACTCAGCTCATTTACCAAAGGTCTCAACATGTGTGAAGGTTGCAGGTGACCAACTATAAATAAATAAATAAATACAGTTTTTTATTTGCCTTCCTGGGAGGCCACGGCTCTCAGTTATCCATAATGCTTCACTTCAGTATAACACAACTTCTGCTGCAACCTGCCTCTGAGATAAATGAATAACTGACATGATATGAAAATACAAACATAGTGTAGCTTGGTTTTTGAACACAGTGTAGATCATTCTACACCACAAGGTTGTGGACTGGACGGTAGTACATGCTAGTAAAGGCAAATTTATCATGGCAGGACATGGAGGAAGCAATCCTACATTACATTTGAAGTTGGAGAGATCAACCAGCCAGTGCTTCTGCTGCTAGCAAGAAAAAAGTTCTGCTAGGCCAGTCATAACAACATTACCAATATATTCACTTTTATCTCTGCTAGCTGGTTTCAGCAAACAGAAAAAGAGAGAGAGTTAAGCAGTTCCAGGGTACTCTATGATCATTTAACTTTCTGCAGTTTGCTTGCTTTACAAGGGGGTTAACAGCAGCAACGTTAGCAGCTATGCCCAGTCTCAGTGGAGAAAGCCACATAAGACATGATGAAATGAACATTTGTAGAAGCAACAGTGATACAACCTGTACTATACAGTATTGTCAGTGTTGTAAGAGATTTAAGTGTACAACTGGCACAATTTTAAACTGGAACATACTCGTGTCATGTTTATGTGTAAAAACAGAGGAGACAGGTTATGTACATGAACCCAAAAACGATTTAAGGAGCAAAAGGAACCGACTGAAAGACAAGGCACTGGGGAGTGACTCAGCTGAGTCACTGACTCACACTGTAGAGGATGAAAAAGGTTTCTTCACACTAAATGGCTCAGGCTCCACTTTCACAAACCTGAGTGTTAAGGCCATCATGTGCATACATGCACTTACTCATCCATGGACAAGTGGAGCTCCTAAAGAAAATGGGTTATCATTAAGATAAATGCAACCACACCCTATTTGCCTTTGTGACTGGAGCTTTAACTAGTTTGTTTTTATTGTTTTAACTGAATTCTCAGACTGTCTGATTTAGTGCTTAGTACAGATAAAATAATCATAATGGGTGACCAATATTCATGTAGATGCGGACAATGACAGCCTCAACAGTAAGCATTCAGTTCATTATTGGCTTTTCTCAAACTGTAAATAAACCCACTCACTGTTTTAATCACACCCTTGATCTTGCTCTGACATATGGCATCGAAACTGAACACTTAATAGTTTTTCCCCAAAACCCTCTCCTGTCTGACCATTTTCTAATAACTATTGAATTCGGATTATTAACTATGTGGGGAAAAATTCCATTACAGTAGATGTCTATCTGACAATGCTGTTACCAAATTTAAGGAAATGATTCCATCATTATTTACTTCAGTGCCATGTGCCAATATAATGGAGGGAGGCCACCTTAACTTTACTCCCACACAAGTCGATAATCTTGTTGATAGTATTGCAGCCTCTCTGCGTACGACACTTGATACTGTTGCCCGGTTGAGGAGGCCCGGTGGTACAGCTCGCAGCGCCACACCCCAAGTCAGAAAAGCTTTTCTTTGCCTGGAAAGATGGTTTAATGTATAAAAAAGCCCTCCATAGTGCCAGAACCGCATACCATCCATCACTGATAGAGGAAAATAAGAACAACCCCAGGTTTCTTTTCAGCACTGTAGCCAGGCTGACAAAGAGCCACAGTGCTGTTGAGCTTAACATTCCCTTAGACCTCAGCAGCAATGACTTCATGAGCTTCTTTACAAATAAAATCACAACTATTCGAGGAAAAAATTTATCAAATCATTCCCACAACTCACAGGTGTGCCATCAAGTACATTGGTTTTAGAATCATCTGCAAGACCTCATTTATACTTAGACTACTTCACTTCTCTTCCATTGATCTCAATGAGTTTGCCTCAATTGCTTTATCTAAATCATCATGTCTCTTAGACCCCATCCCAACCACGATGCTCAAAGACATCTTGCCCCTAATCAACATGTCCATATTAGATCTGATTAACCTCTATCTATTAACAGAGCTATGTTCTGCAGGCTTTTAAGGTTGCTGTAATTAAACCTCTACTCAAAAAGCCTACTCTTGGTTTTCTAGCTAATTATAGACCAACATCCAAGTTTATTTCTAAAATCCTTGAAAAAGCTGTTGCAAAGCAGTTATGTGACCACTTGCACAAGAACGATTTATTTGAGGATTTTCAGTCAGGTTTTAGAGTCCATCATAGTACAGAAACTGCACTAGTGAAAGTCACCAATGATCTTCTCCTAGCCTCGGACAAAGGACTTGTCTCCATACTTGTCCTCTTAGATCTCAGTGCCGCTTTTGACACCACTGATCACAGCATCTTACTACAGAGACTTGAACATGTTATTGGGATTAAAGGAACCACACTAAGTTGGTTCAAATCTTACTTATCAGAAAGATTCCAGTTTGTTCATGTTAATGACTCTTCTGCGCAGACTGAAGTTAGTCACGGCGTTCCGCAGGGCTCTGTGTTAGGTTCAATTCTCTTCACTTAACATTGCCTAAAGGGAGCATGTATGTTCAGGAAACAGCATAAATTTCCATTGCTATGCAGATGATACTCAGTTATATTTATCTATGAACCCAAATGAATCAGATCAGTTGGTCAAACTTCAAGCATGTCTTAAAGACATAAAGGCCTGGATGACTTGTAATTTATTACTTATAAACGGACAAAACTAAAGTTATTGTACTTGGGCCTGAAAACCTTAGAAACCTGCTGTATAGGTAATCTAGATGACATAGCTCTGGCCTCCAACAATACTGTGAGGAACATTGTAGTCATTTTTAACCAGGATATGTCCTTTAAATCACACATAAACCAGGTCTTTAGACCTGCCTTCTTTCACCTCGCATCCTCCCCCAAAGTGATGCTGAAAAACTGGTCCATGCATTTGTTACTTCCAGGCTGGACTACTGTAACTCTTTACTATCAGGATGTCCCAATCATTCCATAAAAAGCCTCCAGTTAATCCAAAGTGCTGCAGCCAGAGTACTGACAGGAACTAGCAAGAGAGATCATATTTCTCCTATATTAGCTTCTCTCCACTGGCTCCTTGTGAAATCCAGAATAGAATTTAAAATCCTTATACTAACATACAAAGCCTTTAAATGACAAGGTTCCATCATATCTTAAAGACCTCGTAGAGCCTTATCATCCTAACAGAGCACTTCGCTCTCAGAGTGCAGGTTTACTTGTGGTTCCTAGAGTCCACAGAAGCAGAATGGGAGGCAGAGCCTTTAGCTATCAAGCTCCTCTCCTATGGAACCAACTCCCAGTCTCAGTTCAGGAGGCGGACACCCTCTCTACCTTTAAGATTAGACTTAAGACTTTCCTTTTTGATAAAGCTTATAGTTAGGGCTCGGGCAGGTGGTCATTCCAGTTGACTATGATATGATGCATATCAGCAATTTTGATTTTTGAAATTGTATATATTAAATATGCACTCAGTCTCCAATAAAGCAGCATCATCATAATATATTGAACATAACAACTTTCTGAAAAACAAAAAGGCCCATTCAGGCTTAAGAAGTCACATTTTCTGAACATTACTAACACTACTTAATATTGATTTTAATCTGTGTTGACAGAACAAAAGAGTAATTCAGCAAGGACCTGCTCAGAATATGGAAAAAGACCCCACTAATAACTTACAAAAAAAAAAAAGAAAAAAAGGCATCACACCTGTTCTCTGAACTACTCATTCCTGATGCA